TTACCTTGATACATTACTTATTATTTCATTTCCTATCCAGTCAAAATGTCAACATGATAGTATACTATATAGAGAACCAACATAAAATATATGCTTTAGTACTACAAATGTCAAGTTAGCAACTGCATAGAAGAGAACCGCAAACCTGGGCTTTTCTCTGCTCATCCAAATTTGGTGGTGCTGAGCTTGTTCGAGCAGGTATCTACCAAAAAAAACACCTTTTTATCCTAAGTGTTCAAGGACAACAAAGACAATATAAGAGATACAACAATACTTCAAAATTCATGATGTCGTTCACCTGCATTCCATTCATAAAGCCAGGACTGATGGACCCAAACTGCAGCGGAAATGATTTGGATGCATCTCCTGGAGCTAAGGAAACAATCGAAATAATGAGCATCAGTTATGAAAAAGATGACACCTTCATCATTTTAACAATAATTCCATAATTATAAGTTTAATTTTTTTTTCACAGTTCTAAAATCTTCGCAAATACAATACCTTTCTCAGGTGTTTTTGGAGCATTGGGCTCAGAGCTAGCACCAAAAACATTAGATGATGGAGCTGCAGATGAAACATTAGACGAAGGAGCTCCAGGAACAGCCCGGGTGATTTTTTGAGCAGGGGCATGGGTTGGCCTGACATCAGGAGCGTTACTGATTACTGGTGCATCAGATACTCCTAGAACAAGGCACATTAAAACTCTAATTGAGAAAACTTAATTACAAAAGGAAAAAATAGAAACTTAATATAGCATTACTCTGCCCACGTGTTTCTGAAAATTTCATCTTTATTAAATGGCCTAATTGGGCAAAATCATCTAGGACAGCAAAGTACCTCCCACTGCAAACCCTTGACCAAAGGTGGGAAGGGATGATATTAACCGGAAACAGAAAAGGAAAACAAAATCACGTACTCTGAGTTGGCTGCTGTTGATACACACCATTCTCCGCAGCACGAGCTGCAGGTGAATTGCTAAAGTCCACATGAGGGCTCCTTTCATTCAGCTGCCCTACTGGAGCATTGCTATTATACTTCTTAAAACTGCATTCCAAAAAAGGATAAATAACGCAAGTCCATCCACTATAAACATAAGATGAAAGACATAAATGAAACCCTAGGTCCCCCACAAAAGAATGATCATCAACCTTGCTCGCCACCTCCATCACCAGTCAATCAAACAACACATAAACGCATAAAACAGCCAACTCACACATTCCACCATAGCTTAAAAGTACATCAGCACATGGAGCGAACCTGCGATTGGGAGGGTTGGTAGGGGCGGAGGAGCCACCACCGCCCTTAGTGGCGACGCCGCCTGAGAACTGACGGTGCTGATTGGAGCTCACTGATCGACCGGTTTTCCTGAACTGTGCGGGCTCGTTCCTCTCCCCCCTTGATTGATTGTGGGACATAAATTCCGACCTGAAAAACAAAATAAAAATCGATTTTCCCGGAAAATCTTGAGCAGCCCCTTGCCCTACTGAGATCCACCGATCAAATCAAAGCATAAAAAAAACGATAATTAAATGCTACGCATTCAATCGGCGGATATTAAGGAATAAAATCCAAACGGCGATTAACGAGTAAATCAAAGAATTTCATTCCATTACTGATTAGGTCGAATTGTACTTCACCTTGAGCGAGGAGATGGAAATTAGGGTTTCTGCTGGGAGAAAGCAATGGCGGGAAACAAGTATCGACGTCGCCTGAGAGATAAGAAGGAAGAAGAAGAAGAAGAAGATGATACAGCAGAAGAGAAAGAAGGAGATGAAAATATAAGGAAATAAATGTAAATGAAAAATAGAATAAGAAAAAAGTGAAGCGGTGTCAAGGTTAACAACACTCGAGTTTTTAACAGAGATGAAAACGTCCGAAGAAATTGGTCTTGAAATGACCTTTTCAAAACAACAAACAAAAAGAATATAATTAAAATTATTATTGGGAAACAAAATAACATTAATGTCATGCAAATTTGGTGTGAATGACTAAAATGCCCTCATACATTTTCCCAACTAGCAAACCTGAGCTCGACCCCTTACCTAGCCGTACTTCAAATCGAGCTCGACTCGTTTATCATTAATATCGAGCCAATTTCGAGTCTTATCGAGTCAATCTCGAGCTTTCACGAGTCAAACTATTATAAAATTGTATAAAAATTCTCTTTTCGAGTCTTATCAAGCCGAGTCAAGCTCGACTCGTTAACCAGACGAGCTTTAAATTAGCTCAAACTCGACTCGTTTATCAACCAAGCTGAGCCGAACTCGAGCCTCAACAGAATTTAACAACACTACCGATGAATATCCGACCGACTATAATATTGTCGGTAACTATCCAGTATCCACTAACCTAATTCTCTGCAAATGTCAAAAATTGTCGACTATGGCGCTAAATTAGAAAATGCACAAATTTCTGTGTGAGACGACCTAACTGTTGGAGAATCGATTCATCGTACTTTTTTTTAACAAAAATGCATATAAAATTAATGTTTTTGTTTAATTGGTTTTAAAGTATTTATCGAAAATATATGACAGGCTAGTGTTAATTGTTTAGTATGAAATGTATATTGGATGGTGAAGAAAAGGGAGGTAATCTTTCCCTTTTAACACTTGCCGTATTCTTCAAACTTTCCCAATTAGTTGATTCTCTAATAGAAACCTTGTAAAAAATTATGTTACTCGCATTATTGTTTCAAAGTTTGTGTCCTTATTTTCAACAATGTCGGATTTTTGTGTCATCACATATTTATGGTGCCGTCAATGTTCCATAACTTTCTACTTCGTAGTTGAAAGCCAAAATCATCACCAATATCTTGGCAAGAAAAAGAACAAGATTTGTGACCTTTATAATAAATAATTGAAATATGCAAGCCTTAAATTGTGAACCTAACATAAATACAAGAAACAATTTTCATCTATCAGAAAAAAATGAGCATCCCCATCAATAAACTTCGTAGATTTTACCTACACAGATGACAGAACCACAATGCAAATCACCGGGTTTTTCACTGTGAATGAAAACACCCGTATATATGGAGATCCAACGGTAAAAAACTCAATGTCTGCACTTTAGTTTTGTTTACGTTGAATCTTTCATGAACTTGTCCCCTTTTTTTTTTCCTGATCTGATAATATCCAAAAACACTATCAAGGATTTCAGCTGCAAGCTCGATTTCTGCAAGCCGCCTTTGTGAGAAGACCGGTGATTTTCAAGCCAGCAAAATGTACACAAAGCTTCAATAAAAAGCTAAAACATTGCAAAGTAAAGAAAAGGCATCTATAAGTGTAAAAGTCAAGTCTCGTGAACAAAACATGTACAGGATTCCGTGTTCATGACTCGACTCCATATGGAATGAGAGCAGCTGCCACTATCCTCCCTTCTTCATTCAACAGGTTATATGTCGAGGCTGCATTTCGCTGAGATAACCAAAAAAAATATTAACAAAATGCAACATTGGAGTGTTTTCTTGATCGAGAAGAAATAACATCCAATACAAACAGCTAACAAAATGTGAAACTATGTAAATAGTATGGAAAATTCGGCAGGAGAGAGAGAGAGAGAGAGAGAGAGAGAGAGAGAGAGAGAGAGAGAGTGAGTGAACTTACTGAATCGACTGCTTCAAATTTCATGCCTGTGGAGCGAATGAAGTTATGGAGTTCGGGTTTTACGGGCTGTACATACTTTCCACATCCAAGAATCAAAATCTCTGAATTAAAAGAAGGCTTATTTAGCAGTTGAAACATAAAATGGTAGAAGATATTAAAATAGTCAAACTGTTACACCTTTTTGAAAAATAGGATGGAAAATTTGAATCAAACAATAACATGAAAACACTCATTCGCTAAAAGTTGTGCCGAGCATTTCAAAGTAGTTGATATAGACGTATACACCCGATAGTACTAAACTAAATGCCTATGTCATACCTAAGGTTTCACATCTAAATATCACAAGAATAGAACTGCTAGTTTTTTATTAGTGTACACCATGATATTACCTAATTTATGTCAAATTATTATCCTTCTCTTATCCCATATCATCTTAAATCCAAGCTACCCAACTCTATTTATAAGAGCTCCTCCTGCAGGCATATAAGATATATAAATGTATATGTATTAAGTAGGAACCTTCATAAAGTGCATTAAAATAACAGTATCTATATCAATATTAATTGGCACCAGTTTATAAATAGTAATAATACATTTTTCCCCGTTACATATATTTATATTTTACATTATTTCTGCTATGGTGTGTGCACATTTCAGATAGTAAGACTATGCTTGGATATAAAAAGTTTTGGTTTTGATTGAATTTTTTGGTTTGGGTTGGTTAAATTTGAAAAAGTTGGTATGGTTAGTTAAAATAATATTTAAAATAAAATGATTAAAATTAATTTGATGTAAAATTAAGAGAGAGAATATGTGATGTGATGTGATGTGATGATTAGTTAAAATTATGTGAGTTGATGAATAGTAAATTAAGGTTGATGTGGTGTGCAAGAATGATTGATTGATATTATTAAATTATATTGATAATATTGATGATAGTGGGGTTGAGTTAAAAATGATTGGATATTTTTGGATGAATTTGTACAGTAACTAAGTCTAACATTGATCAATTTATACAGTAACTAAGTTTAACGCTACTATTGATTTTTTTATCAAGTTAAGTTGACTGAAAATAACCAATATAATAAATTTATTTATTGTGGAATGCACATTAAATCTATTTTATATGTACAACTTATTTATTTTCATGCATATCGTGTACGTGCACGGGGACAGAGCAATATTACTTCTAGTGGTGTGATCACCAAATATATAATAGTACAACAACAACAACAACAACAACAACATACCCAGTATATTCCCAACAGGTTGGGGTCTGGGGGGTCAGTTGTACGCAGACCTTACCCTTGTAATTATACAAGGAGGCTGTTTCCGTAGCGACCCAAGGTGCATTGCGCCGTTTGATATATTTTTTTTTTCTAGAAACTTCACTAATAGAAGAAGCACTAGAATTTAATTGAACCATTTTGATCTAGTCCATTATTAGCACTATGCCAGGAGAATTGTCAACAATGACTCTTCCAGCTCCATTTGCAATGGACAAACCAAATATATAATAGTAGTGCATAATTTATTTTAGCATGATATATTATAACAGTATATACGCCATTTTAAGTACACGTAATGTATGTTAGCAGGGATTCTAGTTCCTACATTAACAATTAGATCTCATTTGATTCAGTCCACACACACACGCACACACACACACATATATATATATATTTACAGAAAGAGAGGGAGAGAGAGTTCCCACCTGGCACCGGGCGTAGAGTCTTGAAAATAGATAAGCTGCAAAAATCATGATAGAGAAACCTCATCAGAAGGCAAAACTGAAAGTAACAAGCCAAAGACAAATTTCAATAAAAAGGGCCAGGCAACTTAAAGGAACTTGCCAGAAACAAACTTCCAAAAGGTTCTTTGATTAATGCAATTGAAACAGCCCTCAGTTGGTACTTCTACATCGAATTCAAACATGAAATTAACTATGATGCTAATAATTTCTAGGAAGAATGACTTCCTATCTCACAATTAGGCTCTTTACCTCACTACTAGAAAGCGTTAAATAGAAAAGGGTGTAAATTTGAAACCCGATTGTTTACTCCTTCAAACCATTAAAACTTTCAATCAATCATAAGTTTCAAACATACAATGCAAAGCAGAAAATTAACGTTATCTAGCTTTTTCCTTCTTCAGAATCAAGAAATAAGTTCCAACACTGATTTACGTTTCATCACTGATGTCCGCAAACTTCTTGGGAGCCCAAGACATAATCAAATTTCCCACACAAAGTAAGCTGCCTTCATGCTTGACTCCATTTACCTTGAACCCTGTGTCGTCAAACCTGTTATAAACCACAGAAGAATAGATTGCAACTAGTCACTTCTAGAAACAACTAAAAGCATGATTCCTCTTAATATAAACACATCAACATACACAACAATAGTTCAATACATAGAAAACACTCTAAAAAACAGGCGTAGATACTCGTTAGGACTGTGACTGCGAGCATATTGGATGCAGGTCAATGTCTGAGTATAATAGCCCATCAAACAACCTGCCTAAATGAAAAAGCTGTTCAGGCACATGGGTTCTTAGTTCTTACACAAAACATATAGGACGACAACTGTTTCTCCGATTTTCAAGTCCTCATTTCCAAATTCTTATAGCACCATCATCTACTTCAAGTTAACTGAAAAGCGATGCTCATCCAATGTAGATCAAAGCCAATCTACAATCCAACAAAGAGAGAGGAGAAATGACAAATTCCACATAGTTCTCCTTACAGAGAAAACATTATCCAAATTCATCCTGCAGATGTGTTTAATTAAAAGCACAGGATCATCAATATCCATTAATCATGGTAATTGCACAAAACTAAGAAGTAAGCTCACTCCAAAAATAAATTAAAAAACTGATCATAATGCTCCATAAAACCACATCATTACCCGAGGTAAAAACGAGAAGAACAAATTATACGTTTACAATCTACACATATTCAGCTTAAACCAAAA